AAAATACTAAACCAAGGGGGAAAATTCTAACAATTATTCACAAGGGTCTACAACATCTACCCATAACATCCCCATATACCCCTACCCAAAAATCAAGACAAAACTATCTAAAGAAAATGAATTTCCTTACCTATGCATAACATAAACCCTAATTAGGCACCCTAATGCTAACCTAGCTAAACTAATCAAATTTTAATCTAAAAATCAAGAATTAAATCCTATGGGGAACTATGATTCAATATCTAATCACACCAAAAAAAATGAATTAAAAAGACTAAGGGAAGGTCCTAAAATAAATTCTACAAAGTTGGATATCAAGCTAAACATATTAAAAAGCTATTAAAATGAAAAATATACTAAAAATATGAAAAGAAAATAAAATGGAAATTTTATTTATTTATAATTTTCTAGACAGACTTATTAACATATGAAAAAAACAAGAATTAAAAAATATTAAATTTTCTATTTTTTATGAATTTATTAAAAACAAGAAAAAATTAAAGGAATTAAAAATAAAAGAATGAAAATAAAGGGGAGGGGGTGTGAGTAGCAGGACGCGCTAGTTGCATTTCAAGTGGGCCAGAATAGGGGTGGTGTTAATAGCGAAAGTCTGCTGAGCCCAGTTTCACTCATTAAACCAAACGGTGGCGTTTTGGCTTAGGGTTTTCCCTCCGTTTCTTTTTTTAATCTCGGCCGTTAGATGAAATGAAATGGTCAAATGTCCAGGCTGATCCAACGGACGCTAGTCATCGTCCCCAAACGAAACCCTAGGGTTTCTGAACCTTATTTTCATGCAAGGAACTTCTCCTGGCTCGTTCTCCCTCCACACTCAATGATTTTCAAAAATTCCAAAAGGGAAAATAGACTACTCATTACAAGGAACAAAGCTACACGAGTGATTTTCATTAATTCTCCTTGAATCATTCAAACAGAGAACTTCAAAGCTCGGGTACCACCATATTTTCCTGAGATCAATTCTTCTGAAACTCAAAATTAATGACATGATCATGCTCTTTATGATATCCTAACCATTCTGATCTAATCTATGCTAACTAAAACTCACTACAAAGCTTGCTCTTGGAAATTAAAGAATCTTGCACCTGCCATGAAACCTCACACAAAGCTCTCAAACTCATGGGAAAAGATCAACTAACCTAGTACACTAATCCTACACCTAAAGAACTAACAGAAACTACATAATTAAAGAGAAAGGGAGAAGAATCCCAACCTGTCAAGAAGTGATGGTGAAGGTATGTAGAGAAGGTTGCAAGCCTTGTAGCTGCTTCAGGATGATCCTCCAATGGTGGAAATGATTCTGTTTGCACTGGTTTTGGAGGAGAAGCCTTGTGGTGAAAGAAATCGTGTGTTGCTTGATCTTGAAGGAAGCTCTTCAATGGCAACTTCTCTCTCTCTTTCTCCTCTGAATTCCTCAACCTTGACCAACCTCACACTCATCATGATTCACTCTTCTTATAATGATCAATAGAAACAACTAGATCCTTCTAGAATCATCTAGAAAAGTCTTGATTTTCTCATGTGATGATAAGTTGAAAATCCCATGTATCATGCCTTATGCCTTGTAACTTTGTGTCAAAATACCTTTACATGAGATATTGAGAAGATATGTGTGAAAAACAAGCTCACCTTTGGCTTATGTTGAGTTTTGCAAGGGTGCCTTATAATGCAAGTTTCAATTTTCCAAAGCATGTCCCATTTTAAAGCCTCAAATGAAAATTCTATTTGAACCAATGTTCTCAAAATGATGTTTCCAATCAAAATGATATATTGGATGACCTATTTTGGATTCCTAGATCTCCCAAACCAATTTTCAAATTCAACTTTTTAAACTTATAAGCCATTTTTAGTTCATTTTTAACCAATCATGCAAATCCATGCTATGAGCTTTTCCAACAATTCATGACCTTCTTTCTAGACTTAAAATCCCATTTTGAACAACTTTCATGTTTTGAGTTTTTCCATTTGAGGCTTGGAAATAGGAGATATGGCCTTTGCTTAAAATGACCTATAACTGCCAAATGACCAAAATACCCCTGTCTTGTTCAAACCATAAGTTGAGTTCTACAAATCCTATCAAGGACTTCTACCACTCAAATTAAATCTAAGGAGATGCTCTTCAACATTCATGTTGACCAAGAAATCATAGGAATCATCCTACTAGGGCAAAAGTCGTCTGCAAGTTGGGTGACTTTCAAGGACCCAGATTCACATACCTCAGCTGACCTGTAATTTGTCAAAACCATAACTTGAGCTCTGCAACTCCTATCAAGGACTTCCACCACTCAAATTAAAGCTAAGAACAAGCTCTACAACATTCATGTTGTGGGGAAGATGAGATATCAATCACATCTTGAGCTAAAACTGCCTGGAAGATAGGGATCAAATTAGGGTTTTTTCACTGACAATCCTCAGAAAACCCTAACTCAAAACTTCTCAAACTCCTCAATCATGATGAGTTGGTCTAGGAATCATCTTTATAACATCTCTATGCATCATTCCATGATCTCATGGCCCTTGGATTGGGTCTCAACCTTCTCCAAATTTTCAGTCATCCTAGGGTTGACCCAGTCAAAACCCTAATTCTACCATTCATGGGTGAATCTTCTGAACTCTTGCATAATGACCTCTCTGGGCTTCATGATGGCTATCAAGACATCTCACAGGCTTCCTCAAAACATCTAGTTCATTCTCCAAGTCTCAGGATCATCTGAGGAGCTCCCACAACTCTCAAGCTATGAGTCACACAACCCTGGTGTCAATCAATTCCTCTGAGGATCTCTTGAACTGTCTGATGAAGGTATCAACTTTCAAACACCCAATGAATAAATAATTGTTGGTCAAATTTTGGGGTGCAACAAATAGCACACAAATCAAAGCAACCAAGGTATTTCCACATAATTGATGCAAATTAACAAAAACAAGAATGATTCTAACACTTTCTCTACAAAAAGGAATGAAAGATGCCCATATTTGATAGATCAAATAAGCAAAGTTTGACATCTAACACACATCAAGATTCAGATGATATGATGGTTATGGCTGCAGTTACAGATGACTATGTCGAATCCAAGATCTGGCTCCTCGACTCAGGCTGCTCGAATCACATGACTGGTCGAAAAGTTTGGTTAGTAGATTTTGACGAGTCAAAGAAGAGTAAGGTCAAACTTACTGATAATAGCTTGTTGCAAGCAAAAGGTACTAAAAAATAGTTATTTAAAGGAGTAATGGAGCAAAAGCCATGATCAAAGATGTAGTTTATGTCCCTGGAATGAAGTGCAATCTGCTAAGTGTTGGACAACTATTTGAAAAGTGGTTCTCATTGTTCATGAAAGATGGAGCCTTAGAACTTTTTGACATCCAGAATAACTTGGTCTTGAAATCTCCCCTGTCGAAGAATAGAACATTTAAAACCATGATCAGTTCGACAGAGATACAATGTTTGAAAACAGTTGTCGACCACAAGAATAGTTGGTTGTGGCATTTAAGATTTGGTCATCTGAACTTTAGGTCGCTAAATCAACTGATCACTTAAGATATGGTAACTGGTATACCAAATCTTAAGATGTCCGACAAACTCTGTGAAGGTTGTCTAGTCGAAAAGCATTCCAGAAAGTCTTTCGTTTCGACTATGCCAATGAGATCATCCTGCATACTCGATGTTGTACATTCATATGTATGTGGTCCTTTGGAAGAGCATACAATTGGTGGAAACAGGCACTTCGTCTCATTTATCGATGAGTACAGTCGAAAGCTCTAGATCTATGTGATCAAACGAAAGGACGAAGTATTTGAAATCATTAAGAGATTTAAGATACTTGTCGAAAACCAGGATGAAAAGAAGATTAAAGTTCTACGAACAGATGGAGGTGGCGAATACACATCCAAGATATTTGAAGCATTATGTGCAAAATATGGTATTGATCATGAGATAACTACTCCTTATACTCCTCCACATAATGGAATAGCAGAAAGAAGAAACAAGACCATATTGGACATGTCGAGATGCAGGCTAAAGCAGGAGAATTTGTCAAAATCCTTATGGGGTGAAGTTGTTTTGACTGTTATTTATATTCTGAACAGGTGCCCTACCAAGAAGCTGAAAAACAAGGTTCCTAAAGAAGTGTGGAGTGGCAAACGACCATCAGTGAGTCATCTGAAGGTGTTTAGCTCTATTTGCTACAAGCATATTCCTGATGCTAGGAGAAGGAAGCTTGATGATAAGAATGAATCAGCTTGAAGAACTTGTCGAAGTTCAAAGAGTTAATAAAGGAATTTGAAATGTCGAATCTGAAAAAGTTGTCATACTTCCTATGCATGGAATTTCAAATGTCGAAGCAAGGCATGATGCTACATCAAAGAAAGTATGTCAAAGAGATACTCAAGAGATTCAGAATGGATGATTCGACTCCTGCATCTTCGCCTATCGAACCAAATTTAAGTTGGAGAAGCATAGAGAGGAAAACAAAGTCAATGTAACTTTGTTCAAACAGATTGTCGGATCTTTGAGATACGTGTGCAAAAGTCAACTTGATATATGTTTCTCAGTCAGATTAGTGAGCAGATATATGAGTGAACCAAGGGTGTCACACAAGAAGGCTGCAAAAAGAATTCTGAGATACTTAAAAGGATCGACAAACTATGAAATTTTATTTCGACGAGACTCTGAAAGCAAATAAGTTATGGTTACTTGTTAAACAAATGAATTTTTATAGGTAAAGTCTTAACATAATTAAAAATTAAAATTCCTAATATCAATGCTATATTTCCAATTTATTAATCATCTTCACTAAATAACATAAAGTGACTAGATCATAAATGATCTTAATTAAATCATTAAAAAAATTGTTACAAAAAAGTTAAATATTACTTGCTTCGCTCCATATTTTCTGCCAGACAACACTAACAAAATAAGTTTCTCAAAACACTTGTATGAAAAGTAACATATTCCTTTGATGAATGGCCATTTTGCGGTGAGAATAATTTCAAACAAACAGACGGGTGGAAGTTGCAGTCCTACCAGAAGCCTGAAACAGAACAGCAAGTTCATACTGTTTAATTTCCATTTTCAAAAGCTGATTGACAAAGATAATGACAGACACGAGAGAAAATAATTAGAATCCTAATGGTGCCAAAAAGAAATGTCTTATCAAGCACATACCATAGCCGGATGTTTGATTATTGAAATGTTGCAGATATTGCCTCGACATTCACGTGAGAGCAAAAGCCGCACATGAGGGACACTCTTCCAACTCTCTCCAAGTGCTGGTTTAGAATTACCGTCTTCCCCACCCACCACATGATTTGTCACCTGCAAAATTTGTCTTAACTTTGGTAAACCTGCCATGACAAGACAGATCATTGCAATTATGTTTGAAATGTTCCAAATATATAGAGCCCGGTTATGACTCAACCGTTGCCTGGCTTTCCACTTCTCTCGTTACCTCTGCCTTCTTGTTTTTAAGGATAGCAAAGTTATTTTATTAAATTTTTTGGCATTTGGAAGTATGTTTTGGTTAAAACTTATGGTTTTTATTTCTAAATATGAATACATCAATTTTGATTAATTTATTTTAGGTTTTAACAGTTAAGTGTTCATTAGTATTAACAGTATTAGTGTGCACGTTACTAAAATATCAGCTGTTCCGCTCTCTGCTCACCCCTTATGTTCCCTTTTTGGGATGGCCGCATTGTGCCGCTATTCAAAATTGATAACATGGGTGGACCCTTGAGATTATGCGACATTTCAATGTACTCTCTCCGTTTTAAAATTCCTGTCGTTTTAGAGAAAAAATTTTGTTTCAAAATGACTGTCGTTTTTCCAATTGTCATATAATTATTACTCTCTACACTATTTCTAACACATTAATAAGACTAATTTAGTAAAAGTGCAATATCTTATGACAATATCATTGAATTCTTTAATATGTGTGCAAAAATCTTAACCAGCAGTCATTTTGAAATGAGGGAGTAATTAACTAAGATGGGGTAGAGGAGTGCTAGCAACACTCTCTTTTCAACACTCTCCAACACTCACTTTTTTATTGGTTGTAACGTGTGGGTCCCTCACTTTATAAATAGGTCTCATATAAAGTGGTAGGACTCATACATATTTCAACCAATGAGAGAATGTTGAAAAGAGAGTGTTATTAGCATTTCTCTTTAAATAAATATTGAAATAACATCTCAGAAAATAAAGGTTGAAGAAGAAACAAGGATGAGATGTGCTACTACAAAGCATTAGGTCAGAGATTATGATTTAGACTGTAGGCTATTCCCGTGATGAGAGCTCTTGTGTAGGGATCAATCTACTGTTTCTCATACGTATCAAAGATACAGGACAAACCTTTTACTGAAATATCATATTTTTTCAGACAGATTAGATTGAAAAAACAAAAACAATATTTATATTTATATTTCCATATCAACTAGAGTTAGATAAGATGAGCCAAGAAAAATTCCTTTGAACTTGAAGAATTTTCTCACAATCACTGAAAGGATTATCATTGGCAAGAAAGAAAGACGAAGGCAAAACAAAAGTAAGACTTACCAACACTGCAATATTATGCTCATGTGCTAGCTTCTTCAATAAAAACCCAACAGATATCATTAAAGCATGTCCTGAAATCACCCATATAATGCACATTTCTAAATTTCAGTACATTTAAATAATTACCAAACCTGTTATCAGGGCATATAAGACTCTTACCCAAAAAAAAGGAAAAGCATGATTACCCATGTTAGGAAACCTATTTGATCAGAACAAAACTAAAATGTAGCAATACATAATAGACAAGACCTCAACCTCAAAACAATTTGCGGAATGGCTTATGATCCATATAACCAGACTCCTCATTATGAAACAGTCCAACCAATTGAAATAACAACTAGTGATTCAACTTTGAAATTATGGTAAAATACTTGACTCAATGCATGCTTGTCAAGTGATAAATGTGAATACTAGATATCAGATGACTCACATGGATATGCTGGAATATAAAACATAATTCAGTTTCAGGTTTTGAGGATGAGCTTATCAGAGCATAATAACTTAAGCCTGGTCTTCAAAACTGTCGTTTTGGTATAGTAAGTAAACAAGACGTCCGTAAAACCCATATGGTTTTCTAACTCACAAGTTAACTCGATAATTTTACATATCTAGGTATCAGACACAGGTTAACTCCCAACAAACTTGCTTTTGGGTAAACTCGGGTAAACTAGCTCAAACTCACAAGTTATAACTTTAGAATGACAAATGCTACTATATATTATTGTTATGTTTTGGGTGGGGATAGAACTCTCAACCTCTTTATCACTCCACTCCTTGACTCTCTCACTCTAACCACCAAGTCATATCCCCACTCCACTCACGAATTTACTAAGTCGGCAAATCTAATGACAGCACACATAAAAGCCCCAAAACAAAACCTTTGAGTGTACTTCATTTGTTCCCTTCAGCCTTTATAATCCAAGTTCACTCAAGCACCTTTAAGAATTGACACTAGATTACTGATAATCTAATTTGACTGGGAGTCAAGAACAACAAGGATGATCCATGATTATGAATAACAGATAATATAATTTACCAAGTACCCAACAGTATCATTTAGTTCTGAACTTGTCAAGAAAGCCAGGACAATAGAAAAATATCTAAAGGTATACAAAGGGAATAAATGGCAACCATACCAAGAAACTTTGCATGCAAATATGTATTATACCCTGAGGACCACTTCCCCTAAGGATGGGAGTAATCAGTGAAGAGATTGAATCAACAATAAGCAGTTGTACATGACGATCTGATTTGGCAATCTGTGACAGTATATACAGTAGTCAATTATTTGATAGAAAAAAAATGAAAAACCAATTATGTTGCATCAGTTACAAATATTAAAGCCAATGAGAACCTTGGATCTCAAATTAATCTTCAGTTGATGAAGCAGATCAAACATCTGATACACATCAAACACTGGGTAGCAAATTATCCTGTCTAATACGTTCTGTAGAAGTCTATGATCGGCCTAAAAGATGGATAATTTAAAAAACAATTGTAAGACCAGTTAACAAACAAGGACCAAACAATGGGAAGTAATTCTGAATCCAGAGTAACCTGATTGCCTGAGACATAATCAGAAGACTGGCCAACAAAATGTGCAATACGCTGAGGTGAGAAGGAGTTGCCAGTATCTAAATATATAACTGAACACTTATGCTTTGCAACAGTTGAGGCAGACATCAAGCAAACCTAATAGTTATCCATAAACAAGCCAAGTTATACTTGAACATAACATAACAGATATGAAGGAATAGAAGAAAACAATTTATCTGATGTCAACCAAATAAGAGATTATGCAAGTGCGTGTCAATGATGATATAGCTGGAGACCTGTGGTAGCAGAAAGATTAACAACAGAATCAAAGTAAACCATTTTAGTTTGATACGCTTCTTCTTAAGACACTCAGGATTATGTATGAAGTAAATGCCTTGATAGAGCAAGTGAGATATTGGCCGTACCAGTCTAATAAACAAGAAGTAGGAAAAGAGATCATAGCCATGCAGGTACCCAAGAAATACATTTTTGTACTTGTATTTATATTGAGATTTTTTTCCTCTTATCTCGGATGAATAAGAACATAAATTTCACATTCTTTTGTATTTTTCTTGTTTATTGCCAGATGAGTCTATAACATGATTATTGAAACAACGTTGAAATTTTGAATAGGAGGACATATATTCCAAATTGTGAATCAAATTTTATAATATACATGATCAGTAAAAGTATGGTATTTTTAAGTAAAAACAAGTGACATGAGCAAAAACTATAGATTGATACTCTCTCCGATCACTCTTGTAAGCAAAATTGACTTTTTTTTAGTTCATTGTACAACTGATGTATTTGGTCTCTATAACCAAAAGAATCAATTTTGCTTCTAATGGTGATTAGAGAGTACATCATATGCATACTTCAAAATTCAAAGTTACAAACCAAATGGCAAAAAAAGTAGCAGACAGTACAATGTTCAACCCCTCAAAAAATGTAACCTATTAACTTCACTAAGGTTTCATCCATCGTCCCCAAAATCATTTACTTCATCTTCATCCACTGACATTTTATCATCTTCCTATGTATCTCCAACTATCTCTTCAATTTTACCTCCTTTCATATCGACATTGGCTTTTAAGTTTCTTACACCTATCACTTTGAACAAGACAAGGGGGCCAAATGGGGACCAAAAACCAGAGAATAATCGAGGAGAGGGTGCAAACACACAGTAGGCAAGAATAAAAAATGCATTGTACGAGTGAGTTAAGACCAAAAATGCAGTGAGCTCGAACTATGAGTCCGACTGGGTCACACAAGGTTGCATCCGCAGAGTCAGAATGTGAAATGTGGAATTCAAGGGCAAATTTGGATTCATCTCATATCAAGATTCCAGTAGCAATTCATGTCCAAATTAGAAAAGCAGTCATTTAAATCGATTAAGTACAGTTTTGTTTTATATCATGATACAGCTCGCAAGTATCATGAGATACTAATAGCCATCCATCACAATAACAATAAGTCTAGACTAAATCTACACTCTTCAAAAAATAATCATCTGTGTGGATTAATTATTACAAAAAGAAAATTAAAAAAGCAAGTTGTTTGCATATAATTTTATGTAGATATTTTTTATTTTGAATTACTATTAGACAAGCGTCGATATAAATGATGTTAAATTTATCTATTTAAATACCCATGTTGTGAAACTTTAAGTTTTTAAATACCTGCAGATATGCATCGATGATTAACACAATGTGAGGGGCGCCAAACATTAACAAATATGACTTGATGGGGGCCAAGCATGAGCATTATCACGTTTCTTTTTTCACAAATAACCAATTGTATAACATTAGTATTAGAAAACTACTAAATTGGGCGGTGCATGGTATATACCCACACCCCATCCCCTCCCCGACTCGAAATAAGCATCGCTCTCCAATGATTAGAAATGAGTATATTCCCAACAGGGATGAGGCAGATCTGCCCCAGCCCATTTAATACTCCAACTCAAAATATGACTCACACGGAAACAAAATTAAGCTCTAACCTGTGTCTTGCCAGAAGAGGATGGTCCAACAAGTTCAGTTAATTGTCCTTCGCGTAATCCACCTCCGAGAAATGCATCAATCCTAAATTAAACAGATTCAAACACTGAGAAGTGCTACTGTCAAGCCACAGTTACACCTTATTTAAACCCAAACATAACATTTATCAAGAACTCAATATTATAAACTGCAAAAGTTTTGAACATCATAGACAATGTAAAGCACTCTCCTAGTTGCCAAAAATCGATATCAAGGATGACAACGAAACCGGTGGAAAATCACTCAAGTCGCGAAGACTGGCTAAAACTTTTAGGGTGGAATGTAAATTAGTTGCATTGCTTAAATGCTGTGTGCAAAATTCCAAAAATGCTACATCCTAGGCAAGCATATTAAGTGTATGTTTGCTTTAGCTTTTGGAAGAATCAAAAGCAATTCTTGTATAACTGATTCTGTCTCCAAAATTAATTCTACTTGAAGCTACAATTTGAAACTTTTGAGTTTAAACATAATTTTTATACTGAAATTTATTATTCAACTCACTTTTACATAAATGTATTCAAATATAAATCACTTTACAGGCGCCTGTTTGTTTTAGCTTTAAAAAAATAGATTTTTTTCTTTATATTTTTTAAAATGGATTTTATAAAACCATTTATTAAAATATTAGAAGTTTTTTTATATTCGTTTTTTCTAAATTAAAAAACTAATTTTTACATCCTATAACTTAAACATACATTATTGAAACATACATCATTAAAGATCAAAATATAGTCGAAATCGCCATTTTTTTTAATTTGTATCTCAAAAATGATTTTTATAAAAAATCATTTGAAATAGCTTCAAAATTAAGTAATTTTTTAAAATTTTGATATTATAAAAGAGTTTCCATACAATGATGAAATACCTAAAATATTTTAAGAATAATTATTAAACACAATTTTCATTTGAAACTTTTATGAAAAGTTTAATTGTAAAATAATTTTACACAAATCATGTAACACTCTAAAAATCAATTTTTAAAAAAACCAAAACAACCGGCCCTACATCTAAGTCACTTTTAACCATAATCAATTCACTCAGAATCAATTCACCTCACTGTAGAACCAAACATGATATTAATGAATAATAAGATGAACTATCAGTTGAGTTGAGCAAGAGAGTACCCTTCACAACCAGTAGACAAAAAATCTTTATTCCGTTCAAAATCTTCAAGAAGCTGCAAACCATTTATCAATGGCGGGTGTAGAGCATCGACAATAGACAGAAGCTGATGAATACCCTAAACAGTTACACATTCTAAGTAGAATCATGTGTATCAATGAACTTAATAACAGATTAATCAAATAATCGATTATATAGGTAACCCTAACCTGTTTCAATCTCTGAGAAGTGGAATGATTAGCCGCGGAAGTGAGTAATGCGTCGAGATCATGCAGGAGGAAATCTTCGACTGAGGAGAAAAAGGAATAGTGATGGTATTGAATAAAATTGAAAGATGGAATTGGAAAAAGTGGGGAAGAGAATGAGAGGAAAGAACCGGAGTAAATGGCGTGGGAAGCGCAAAAGGTTTGGAAGTTAGAATCAATGAGTGGGTACTCGTTCTCCAGAGAGTTCAATGGCGCCATTTTCTTCTAATGCCGACATGACGAGAATTAAACTTGCCACCCCAAATTTATATCCGACAATCTCAAACTTTCGTACTTTTAAAAGTGTAAAGGGCTGAAAAATAAATCAAATTTTTGGTCACGACTAAAAAGTAGGTTAAATTTTCGTTCAAAATTTTCTTGTAGTGTTAATAAAATTTTTGGTACAAATCAAAATTTTCTAATGTATTTGAAATTTTTAGTATATCATAAATTTTATAATTTTCGAAAAGTTTCAGTAAGTTTTAAAAATTTGAAACTTATATGTTGATATCGGAAATTTTAACTTATATGAAATTTTCAGTAGTGTTATTTGTTTGCTTTTTTAGATGTTCAAGATTTTGCCGATAATTTTTTAATGGTTGTGATTGCACCGACAGTTTTCTGTGGTCTAGAGTAAATGCAAAGTTATATAAATAGGAAGTCACATGTTTTTTGATAAACACATCTCAAAAATGTCTCTTCCTCAATTTTTCCTTAAGGTAGAAGTGTACTTCAACGGAGCTTCTCCTCCTGTAGAGTTTCGGCTTCTGAATGACACCACATCTCTTACTGGCCTGACTTCGAAGTTGAATGAATTATTGTCTGATACCAAAAATAAAAAGGTGAGAAAGGTCGAGTTTCATGAAAATTGGATTGATACTGACGAGATGGTAAAATACAACCTTATTGGGTTGAAGACCGATGGAGATGTGAAGGAAATGTGGATATCATTTCGTTGTAGGATAACAAGGATCGATCGAGTTAGATGTTAAGCTTTCAAGATCTATTGACAACATAATAGAGATGTTGGAACGTCCAGAATCGTCTGGTAGTGTTTAGGTCTTTCTTATTTATTAATCATCTGGTATTGTTATGTTTTTTCTTAAGTTATGTAATCGATTGTCAGATGTTAGTTAATGTTGACGTTGAAATTTATGGAAGATCAAAAGTATTAGCAAATAAAGAGTTAGAATGAAGATGTTTGAATAGCATACAAATGATACAAATAATACATAATAGACCAAATTCATGATATACAAAACATATCTAAATAGGTCCCCTACGGGCTATTTGTGCAGCTTGAGATAATTTAGTACAAACCTCGCCATCTGGATTTATCAAATCCATGAGGTTATCCATAATAACTACAAACATCTAGATGTGTTGGTGGTCATCGACATCATCTACCGAAGGAGAAAGCGGTGACACGTCATCAACAAATACCCCGACATCAAAAGGCCCATCATCAGTTGTAGGTGGGGTGATGCGAGAGTGATATAGTGAGGTACCACTTTAAATAATCATCATCGCACTACGAGGAGTGTTAAATAGTGACTACTTGGTCTCTAATAGCATAACCAGAGCTGATGAAGTTACTTTAAAACCACCAATCAGTACCTAAAGATGGTATATCAGGAACCGGTCATGAGATACTCTAAATATAACCACACCAATCAGTACCTAAAGATGGTATATCAGGAACTGGTCGTGAGATACTCTAAATATAACCATATTGTCGCAAACACCTCTCAAGCAAGTGTCTAGCAATCATGATCTTCCACCGCATATAACCTGAATATAAAGACGACCCCTTGTTTACCATGAAAATTGGTAAACAACCACTGATCTTCCAAATTTTGGTTTACTTGCAGGATCAACCAGTGAATCCTAAGAACATAACTATTGTTTCAATATCTTTTTGAAAAGTTGAAGAACACTTCAACAATATTCATGTTGTAAAGGTTTGTAATAAAGTTTCAGAAAAACGATAAACTTTGTATAAATTGGTAAAAGAAATGCAATGAAGAAAACTTCAAAGTAAAAGTGCAGTAAAGAGATAAATGATAAATGAAAAGTAAATTTCTATTGAAATAAATGTGGTGTTTCAAACGTACATTTCTCAATGAAAAACTCTTTTCTCACTTGACTTAGATACTTTGAGTGAATTTTTTAGTATTTGTACAATAATGAGCGCACATAAATCCTAACATTAAGACTCATATTTATAACAAGTCGAAATAATTGTCTTCAACAGACATTTCTCCAAAAGTTGACACGTTTCTATATGCATGTCTTCATTTTTCCACGACTCTCCATGCGTCTTCCCTGAGAAATGGATAAGGACAAAAGACAGTTATTTATCCGTATTTTAAATTTCAAAACTTCTGTTGAAGGTAGGCTTCAAACATCCTTCGTCGAAGTTATTTTCCATCTTAAAAAATATTTCTAAGTATTGTCCAGACATGTCTCCTTCATGGAAACTACTTCGACCAAATTTCTCACACGAGTTTCTGTCGAAGTCAGTAAAATTCAAGAAACTTAATTTTTACTTAGTGTCTTTAAACAAAAGTATGGCGTCAAAAGTTCCAGCCAACAAATTGTCCCCTAAAATGTCATTTTCTACTGAATGGAGAAAATGACATTTTTTAAAGTTCACATTCGACGCCAGAAATCTTTGTTCTGCTATGACGTCACTATCATCATGACAACTTTTTCAAAACGTCTCTTCAAACCCATGCGTGGATCTTTTTCCATCACCACACATCTAATCCCTAGGAGATTGTGGGTCAGACTTAATTGCTACCGTCTCATCACACAACCATTGCATGACACGCGTCCCACGATTTTTGTCACCATTAATACGTACAGTAACCGTTTCCACTTCATCCCCCTTTAAATTGCGAAAATCACCATTTTTTAAACTTTTCACTCTCTGAACTTCCTTGACTGCACTTTTCCAATTCTTCATCTCTTTCAAATCTTTTTCCTCCAAACTCACTCCATCAATGGCTTCTTCAACCATGATCTCCAAAGATACCAGTAAGAACACTAAGGAGCCCAAGAGATCTAGAGAGCTTGCTCCAGTCCACAAAATTCTGGGTCCCAATGTGGTAGGCAACTAGAAATACATCCCTGAGCCACCTCTTGAAGAAGAAAAGTGCATGATCTACCAATCTCAGGTACTTATTCCCGTTTCTGTTTCTGGTAAAACACACGCCATGTTAGGTCCTCTTCCTAACCTTGTTGTTGATTCTGCTAAGGATAAGGAATTCTTTCCTGCTTACCATCGTTATAAGGCCACAGTCAATGGTCAAAAACCTAGGACTAGTGAGGAAATTAAAACTAATGAGAGATTGAAATTTGACGGTCAAGGTTCTCCTTCGATTGGGGCATCTAGAGACCCAATTAACTTAGAGTACATGAATAATAGTTTTAGGGTATTTCGGTTAAGCCCCTTGTTTAAAGACCCCTATGATTATCTCGCTTGGTTAGAGAAAGTAGAGAAAGCAAAATTCCAAGTCTATAAAGACATGGGCATCTTCGACATGATTTAGTTGTCGAAGGTGGGGCCTGGTTATTACCCATCCATGCTAATTGCTTCCCTATATTTCTGGGATAGTACTTACAACAACTTCCAACTCCCTTATGGAATGGTTACTCCCAACTTGTTCGATGTTGTTGTCATCACAAGCCTAAAACCTATTAAAGAATATTATGATCCTAACCTTTTAGCTGATGAATCCATAGGCTTCGACACAACCAAGGAAGCTTTCACCACTTATATCGCTTACTACCACGATAAAGAAACTGAGGAAGTTTCTGATCAAGAGCATGTTGCATTTATGACTCTTTGACTTTCCTGCTACGTTTTTTGTTCAAGATCCCTTCAGGTGGCGAAGAGATACTTAACAATGGCCAATCAATTATAAGTTGGACATGATATTTGTCTTAGTGAAATGATTTTAGCCAACCTTTATGAATCCCTTAGGGAAGGCATTACAGTACTGAAAACAATCAAGTCGAGAGGAAACCTACTTCTTTATGGACCCTTTTGACTGTTACAACTATGGCTAAATACTATATTTGAAGCATATGTCCCTGCTCGTAATCCTATCAATGCAGAATCCGTCGAAGTGAAGAACAGGAGGGTCGAAGGTACGAGGCTTGTTTTGTTAACTCCCGGCGATGAAGGACTTAACCTTTAGCAAACCTTCACCAACTATGTGATTATGTTTGCAAATCACTACAATTTCTCACCTAGTATGGCCCCTTTTGTAGATAGGAAGGTAGGCCCTGAATGGTTCACTAGAAGATTTCCTACTCAGTCGAAAGAACAAGAAGCATAATATCTTGATATCTGGGAATCTTTTCTTACACCAAGATTGTTAGTCACAAGACTCAATCCCTCAAAACTTCGATTTACTCTTGTTAGTTACCAACCAAACCTCGTTGCTCGACAGTTTGGCTTTATCCAAATCCAACCAAAACCACTCTTCCCCAAAAAAGGTTCCTTTATTCACTACAACATGATCCACAATGAGGCAGGGTGTACTAAATTGATGGCTAAATACATTAACCTTACATAATTCAATCTTGTGGCTTTCAAACCATCTTTTGTTTGCACCAAAGAGTTCAACACTTGGTGGAAAGAGTATTATACTGCAGAATTTTTTGATGTAGTTGCCTTCAACCTTCATCTAATTCGTACCTTTGCCCGGAAAAAGTAAAGAAAGGTACTTCAACACATACCAAAGAGATCCAAGCATTCCAGAAGTAGTTTGAAGCTGCTTACCGACCCGATGACCTTAGTCGAACAATTCGTGAAACAACAGTTACTTTGAAAGAAAAATTTACAAAGAAATTAGAGGATTTAAAACTACCTTCATACGTTAGACCTGATCAACGGTACAGGCTAGCTTTTAATTTATATCCTCTAAAATTTCCTCGAATGCCAAGTGCTGATTTTGGTGTGGCTTTTAGCCCTCCATTTCCAAATTGGTTCGTCTGTGGGAATTTTGTGAAAATCCTTCGACAAGAATCACAAAAACATGCTAAGCGAGTGGTTCCGACTAAGTATACTATGGAAAATTTCAAAGGCCACATTCATATTGGCATAAAACATGTTCGCATGGAGTCTCCAATATATGAAGGTGTGGAATGGGAGGTTCTTCGACACTACTTCTCATATCCATTTTTCCTTATTTATGTTTTGTACCTGA